GCCAGTGTTGAGGTGTGTCTGAAGGCTCGGACTTGGGAATCTGACAGTCCGGTGAGTAGGGAGATGACTGTGTCCATCATGTACTCATCATAGATGATACTGTATTGACACTGGCGCACTAGCACTGAAATGAATTCACAAAAGCTTGACTTGAACTTCTTCCACTGAGGCCCGGCTATGGTTAGAGGGTAGTCGCCGCTGTCCTACAGGGCACACAGGAGGAAGAACAACAATAAATTAAATACAATGGTGAATATGACCACAGACAGCTGTTATCAGCAACAAGGTAAAAGGTTCTATTGTCCTTGGAAAATAAAAGAATTCAGACTTTAACCGAAAGTGACATGAATGAGATATTTAAGGTGAATATGGCAGTGATTACTCTGATGAGATAAGTTACCTCATCAAATTCCTCTGTCATTCGTCGGATGATCTCAGAGTTCTGCATGTTGCGAAACATTTCTCCACTGACCACACCTGGAAAACAGAAAAAAGACAATTTACTAAGTGATCAAGAAGAACATCCCACTGAGGAGGTAGGACACACATAATCAGATGTTTTTCCTTAATGCATCATAAAAGAGCCAGTCATGGAGGAGAGTGACTCAAACTGAGACACACGCGTACCTTTACATCCTGAACACTGGATGAAGAAATTGATGAGATCTAGTAGCGCAACGTCTCTGTCGTGTTTGTAAGACTCAATCCAGTCATCAACAACAGACTGCAGAAAGACAGGTATGGGCACACTTAGAAATCACACACCAATATAAAAAAGTACACCGTTATGTTTTTGCTCAAGTGAAATAACAGATTTTTACAACGTGGTAACCTCGAGGAGCTTGTAGTTCATACCTGCATTGCACTCCTGCCCAGCTTCACCACCTCAAACAGCATCATGTTTTCCATGCCATTCTCCTGGTGGTGGCCATTTATCCGGCCTGCTCCCTTCCCTCCTTTGCCTTTCTCCCCTGCTGCCTTCTTCCCCTTCTTTCCACCCTAAGAAAGAGCAAAAAAAAAAAAAAAACAATAGTTGAAATCACTGCAGAGGGTAAGAAAAGCTAACTTTACACACATGTCACGAGTAACTGCAAAAAAAAAAAAGTGGCAATACTGGGTTAACCAAGCAGGACATTGACCCAGAGCAAAGGGGCCATTTTTCTTTTCATACCTTTCCTTTAGTTGAATTTGCAGTCCTTCCATCAGGATCCTCAGAGAAGTCTGTGTCTGAGGAGAATCGTGTGTCTGTATCCCTGGTAGACGCAAACCGATAATAGATTTAAAATTCACATCAATCTCAAACTTTACTTGTACATTTTTTTGTGAAAAAAAATAAAAGCAGGTACTTACTGAGTATAGGCGAACTCTGATGGTATTTCTGGTGCTGCTATCATTTCTGTAACATCTTCTGTATAACTTCAACTTACGACTGGCTTGAGATCCTCAGAAAATACAAGACAGGAGAGGTTGCATGTGACCTAGAATACGAAACGCAATACATTTAGAGATCAACATTTCAACACACACACACACAGCAGAGACTGCAAATTGTACAAAAACAAACATCATATACATATACTGTGTGCGCGTTCACAGGAATCACAGCCTCTGTAGTGAGCAAATGTTTCTTTGATGCCGTTCAGAGAGAGAGAGGAGGAAAAAAAAAAACGGTTTCACATGGTAACAGGGGGCGGACACAAAGCTCCTGTCACGCTCACTGTCTAGCCATTGGCTCCCTCTCTTTCTCTGCTCCCCCTGCTTTACAGACAACGTCATGCAAGGAAGATTGGAGTATCTTCCTCAATGGCCAAATATGGCACTGCCCTATCCGCCCCATACATATCTCCACCAATCAAAAGCCAGTATCAACATCAACAAGATACTGCAGGCCACAGGGAAACTATTGCATGGCTGTGATGTGGAAATTAGTGGCACCATACATCAAAGTGGAGGAGCAGAAGTAACTTTTTTTCAAACCGGGATTCTTACTCCGTCGCCTAATTTAGAAGCGAATGTAAATTTCCTCTTTTAGCAGACACGGAGGGCCATGAAAGCACTCCAGAGTCAAGTGTTCAGTCCTGAAAAGGCAAAACATAAACTCCTCCCATCATATACCGCTCTGGGTGCAGTATGTGCCCCTTTCAGCCTCAGCACACGAAGTAACTGCAAATTACAATATCAGGAAAGAGTAGTAAATAGACGTCAAGCTATCTTGTATTAGAAATGTGATGCAGCCTAAAATCGGGGGGATTCTTTCTCACAACGCGTGCTGCACACGATGGCCCGCACATGCCGAAATGCGACTCTTAAATGTGTTTATTATGAATATTAAATAACTGCTGGAAAATCTAAAAAACACAAGCAACACAGCTCATGCTAACTCATTCAATATTAGCGCTGGGTACGAGTTGGTTGCAAACGACTTTTTGTGTTTAAACTTAAGTGGGTTATTTCTCGGCGTAGCGATCTGATAACGTGCCCATTTCCTTGATAGTGAGGGGGGTACTTGCACGACAAGACGACGGGAATCTATGGGTGTAGACTGAAAAAGTGGCGCCAAATCGGCCAGTGTATCTCATAAACTTGTTCCTGCGACGCGATACTAGATCGTCTTACCATAAAAATTAAACGGCCAAACCAAACTGTGCGGATTCCCGTAAGACAAGCGTGCCACAAAGTACCGGCTCAGTTCCCTCCAACAACGCCGACGCGGCTACGCTCTCCGTCGGCTCCTGTCAAAATTGACACCGGTGCGCTTGCTGGTGCTAGCGCCACTAGCTAAGTAACCGGGGATTTTGGCGTCTTTTCCCCAGCGTCAGCTAGTTGAAATTTGATGAAGTAAGCACGCACTACTCTGTGCAAACAAACTGCGATTAGTCTTACAAGAAAGCCGACAAACCTGTACAACGCATTATCGCTAGATTTTGAGGGCATGCCAGCGTTTACCGACGCTGTAATACTTGGAGCATAATAACAAAACAACGCAAGCCCTACTGTACTAGCAAGCTAATATTAGCTTGTACACAATAACGCTCGCCAATAATGTTGCCATGGATATTTACCACCTTCTGTTCGCGTACAAGTCGTATTTGGAGCTTGTGCACAGATAAAGGGAATAAAAACAGGGTTTTGTGTGATTAACAAGCTGGAAATAACTCCCACTAGTTAGCCATGCTAACAGCTACTGCTAACGTTACCTAAAAAAACATCACGTCCTTGCGTCCTCCATCTTGCCTCGGGAGTTCCAGTACCGTATTGCATAAGCAACAAACACTTTGTTTACAAATATATAAAGTGCAAGTAAGTCGATTGAAACAATAAAACGCTTCTTTTGGTCGCCATCTACATATTTTGCGCTCCTGTTCCAAAAATCCAGCTCGCTAGCGTGCTAACAACCGAAGTAGCCATGTACCGCGAGCTAGCGAAGCGACTTGGTTCAGGCAGACATCCGCGCACTGGGCTCATCCACAGCTAGCCTGGCTAGCGAGACGGCTAGCAAAATACAAATCAACTAAGTTCCAGATAGCTCTCCGCCATTTTACAGCTAACTTACCTTGTTGTGAAATGTAGTCCCGGCAGAATCGTAACTTTTACTATTCGTATACTGCTTCCGTCTGAATTCCGCTACAATTCTGTAAAAAGAGTTTAAAAGTCGCGGTCAGAGGCGGTTTCGGACGTTCTCTCACCCCGCTTGCTCCGTAGTTCGGTTTGTTGTTTCGACGACCTGGGAGGAGGAAATCCTGGTGCAGAGCTACCACCTAGCGGCCACAATACCCGCATTAGATACACCGCTGCGGACCTGACATCTAGCGGCGACTGGCCGGTACTGCAGCTTAATTCTTCCGCCTCTGTGCAGCGCGCTTTGCCGGGTCTTGCTGTGGGAAACGCCAGGAGAGTTAATCCCACAGGACTGAACTGTTTGGCACAACAGAAAGCAGTTTTATAAATCGGGCTGCAGCCACCATATTGAACAGAACAAGCCTTTTAGCGGTGTCCTCAGGCCTCAACGTCTCCAAACACCCTCCTCCACTTTATAATGAGAAAAATACTGACTTTTTTTTTTTTCCTGCAATGAGATCCTTTCTATCAACGGTTACCTTCAATCCTGCATTTGAGATGTAATTTATTTCTAAAACATCTCAATTTAAATCCATTTTGGGACACAGGGAGTGCATTTTTTCTTTAAAACTACAATCTGCCATAAATTATCCATGTCCAAACACATGCTATTTATTACTTATTACAATTAAATTTTGTAGGAGAAGCACATTTTACATTTATGCTTATACTGTTCCTACTTATGTACTTCTTCTTTTAGGACATGTTTTTCAACTCAACTTCATATTTTTAGGTCATTTTCTACTTATGTCTATATTTCTAGTCCATATTTTCTACTTATGTACGTATATTTATTCTTTTAGGTCATGTTTTTCAACTCAAGTTCACATTTTTAGGTAATTTTCTACTATGTTAACTCTATATTTTGTACTATTTATACAGTATTTCTGTCTTTGAATGGGAGCAACTGTAACATAAGCAGTTCCCCCTCTGTGATCAGTGATGTATTTCTGATTCAGATTCTAAAAATTAAATCTTCAGGCTGCTTCTACAAACGACCAAAACATATCAACGTAGCTATGTATAAACCCATCTATATACCATTGGATTATGTAGGGAATTAATCTATATTATGCATGTAAATGTGCAATTTATTTATTTATTTAATTTTCCAATGCCAAAGTAGTTTGTACATTTGCTCTTTCTATCAAGTCTCATCTGAGAGGAAAAAAAACAAGTTGTCTAGTAAACACAATTTGACATAATCTGTAAAATTGGCCTGATTCATAAAAAATTGAAAAAGCTTGTTTTACAAAGTCATACAAACTCATTCTAGGTGGCTATTAAAGTGAAGCTGGAGTCTTCTCAACATAAAATGCAACTATTTCCATTACAGAAAAGCAAAAAAATGCAACAGTAATTAAAGAAAAACCAACTACAAGTATATTTGTTAAGATTTATTCACTCCTTGATGACGCAACAGAACGCATGATGGAATGGTAAAATAGTTTCACACCACACTGATTAACTGCAGGTATTAAACTAGAGTTGATCAACTATAAAGCAAAGTCTTAATGGAGTTATCTTTTACAAATGTCAATAGAGAGCAGCACACATGAGGAGAAATAAAATCAGTCTGAAACATAAAATACACCAGATAAAAGAAATGAATGAGATACAAGTGACAAAACACCCCATGTTAAGTTCAGTTAAACTGTGCTAAATCAGGCACATGACTACATAAACCTATAGAAAGGCACCTCTGGCAAAAAAAACAAAAGAAGTGTTCCAAAATAAGAAATGTTCTTTAGTGTGTATTTACAGGTGTCAGTTCTCATTAATCGCCCAAACAGAAGACATGAGCTATTTATAAAATCCTCTCATATCAATATTAACATCTACGTACCATTGTATTGATTGTGAAAATACGCTTTCCTTGAGACATTTACTCATTCTTTCATTCTGATATTTATACAAGCAACCTTAAATATATTACAGCCTATGTACTGTACACTGAGTATTAAATTTACAACATTATAAAGATAGAGAAAGCAGCATTGATGTTTATTGAGAGTTTGTAGTTCCCTTAAGCAATATAGGTCTTGATCTTCTGTGCTATGGCTCCACAGCAGATTGGACACACGATCAGCGAGTCCGAACACTCCTTGCAACTGACGAGGTGACCACACGGGATGAAAACCATACAAATATCTCGGTCCATACATATTTTGCACTGTTTTTCCTTCTGCAGCTTGCGTAGTTTCTCCAGTGGGTCCTCATCTGAAAGAAAAACAAATGTATAAAAATCACTGCTGCTTAGTCTGAAGTATTTTGTCGACGCTCTGAACCTGGATACTGGTGGTGCACTACCTTGCTTTTCTGTCACGGTGTCACTATCTGGTCTGTTGTTCAGACAATCCTCCACAAGTGATTCCAGTTTGGCGTAGTCTGAGCCTGTCCTGCTGATTTTGTCCAAGATGGTCTTCTCCACCACACTGGGATCGAGGCCCATCTCTATGGCCTTCTGAGCCATCGCTGACTGCAGCGTCTCTGTAAACAGGAGGAAAAATCATCGTACACAACTACTTGTTTCATCAAGTTGTGCTATTTTGATTAGTTAACAAACTATACTTCTTGCCCCCTTCAAGTACAGGACAAACTATTCTTATCTTGTCAAATAAAGGACAATGAAATCAAATCATAGAAATATTTTACCTTTTTTGTCCCCTGAAAATCCATTCTGATGACTTGGAGCCTTAAAGCAAATAGAGGCATATGATTATTTTCAGTACAGATTTAGTGAAATAAAAGCCTTGAGATTACAACATCTGCCACACACCGAAAGGGAAGTATTTTTTTTCCAGAAAACAATGTAATGCACTCAGAATGATGGTATTTTAACAATGTCTAAGGTGTCACAAGACTGCATGCGTCACTGCGGTTAAATAGCAGGAAGATATGAATCAGACTGACAATGTTTACATGCATTAAGACACCAGGCCAAAAAAAAACAACTCAGATTTAAGGCCAAAAAAGTGTTTGCATGCACTCCAATAATCAGACCGCTCTAAAAGCCACATCTGCATTCAACTGGTTGGTAATCAGATTTTTCACCTATCGGCTACCTTATATTTAACAAAGGCCCGGTTCACACCTGGTATTATCATGCATCTTGGGTGATTTGATAACATGCAGAGCTTTAAGTACGTCAGATCACAAGTGGCATTACAATACCTCTCCAGTGATCACTACTGATCAGATCTCACTTCTATGCTCTATGTGCAAATAGAGTGGGCAACAAACTAAACTGTCAAAATCCCCCAAAATGACATTCAAAGACACCTGAACAGTATTATTGTAAGATTTCAGATCTGCCTGACACTCATTAATAGCTGTATTTTGACAGAACATTTCAGTGTGGGCACACCTCTGCTGACTAAAGATACACAAACTGAGGCTTTAGAACTTTCTGTAGTTTTGATTCTGGACCAGTTCCTGTGCAGAAATGTCTTTAAAGTAACTTTACTGCCTGTATTTTAATCATGGGCTGTATTTCTGTATAATTATGTTAACACAATTCCCCTTTCTCCGTGCCTCCACATTAAGTTCAGCTCTGTTACACTAAAATACTAGTTTTGCAATCCAGAAACATGCTAGGCTCGGTCTTAAACATCCAGGCTGGGATGGGCTCAAAGCTTAGGCAACACACTGACAGCTTTTGTGTTGACTGTTGACATAAACACAAACAAGATGCAGGAGAGTTTTTGTGAATGATACATTCGAACCAGAAAGATAAAGTATTACTGGGAACAATGCTGCTTTATGCAGAGAAAGTCAATTGAGCAACCAGTCCTTCAGTGTGGTCCAGGACACATTAGCGTTCACACTGCAAGAATGTACAGTATGCAGCCCAGCGCACATCCAAATGTGAGCAATCGGGTCTCAATGTACCTCAGCTGCCATCACCTGATAGTGAGCGGGATACTTTTGATTGCATCACTCAATAAGCATGTTAGTATCGGGTGTAAACGGGGTGAAAGATTGGTACATGTCTAACTTTTTTATAGTGTTTACATATGTCCAAATTTTAAAGAGCCGAGTTGTACAATCTGACTTTTTTGTGGATTTCAGTTTCAGCGACATTTGTTGTTAAAATATTTTGGATACAAGGCAGCATAGGTAATGATATTTCCTTATAACCGAAACCACTGAGGTCACATCTGTACTTCTGCTCTCGAGGTTCTTTATCACTCACATGCACCGCATGAACAGACGTGATTAGACACAAAGTTAAGCATAACACTGTCCGCTAAATTGTGTTCCTCTTATCCTAATTAAGGAAATCCGGTTTCTTGTTTACATGGTGTTTAAAAAAAAAAAATCTGATCAATTGGCAAAGTCAACAAGAGCCTGATTACTTGAGCATACAGAAACAAGAAACACTGAAGGCTTACAGCTCCATTGTGTCGTGGTCTTTGTAGCTGGATGTTGTTGACAAAATCTTGTCCTTTTTCTGCTAACAGGAAGCTGCATCTAATTTAGGAAGAACACAGAATTATATTAAAATAAAAGCAAATGCTGCAGTAAAGAAAAAAAAAAATGTTTGTTCAAAAAAAATGAATGTTAAGAAGAGGGAACATCATGGTGAATCTTACCCAGGGTAGTTTTTGGCATGCTCTTCCCAAGGGTCTTCCTCAGGCTGCCAACCTTTCAAACCTCCACCACAGCGGAAGCACGACGTCCTGTCTCCTCTGCCTGCAGCAACAAAATGTAGGCATGTACAGATATAATGAACTACTCAATTGCTAAGTGTTGCACCCTGTTTCCTTAACACCCATTAAGAATCTGTGCTCTACCTGTGCTGTAGAAGCCAGCTCTCGCAAGCCTCTCGTGGTCAACAGGGTGCTGGACACCTGCGAAGCTATTGAGCCTCTCCTCAAAAGTCCCCATGTGGACATAAGTGTTTCTCTGCTGACTGCTGCCACCCTCACTGTTCTCTGTAGACGCCTGGAAAGTGATGTTTCCCACATCGTGCCCAAGAATGAAGAAGCAGTGGGGAAAATGTTTGGTATGTTCTCCCCAAGCAGTGTCTCCTGTTTCCCAGCCACCGAGCCTGCCACCACAGCAGAAACACTGCACCTGGTCTTGCACCCCTAAGTAGTAAAGGCCAGCCTGGGCCAAATCTTGGCCTCTCACAGGAGCAGTAGGGGGCCAAGAACTGAAGGTTTGAAGTCGGGCGGCTTCACGCCTCATGTGAGGGACCATAGGGTAGGTGCTCTGATCAACCACTTCTCCTGTTCTCAAACGATACTCCATGTCTTCTGCTTCCTCATTGTAGATGGAACCATTAGCTAGCGGGGTATTGGAACTTGGATTAAAATTGGTGCGGTGGGTGCAGCTGAGAAACTTGCAATATGGAGAAACCTGTAACAAAAAGGTAATGATTTTTATTTATTTATTTTTTTTTAAAGGCAAGCTGAAATGTTCCGGAATATGATATGAAATATGCCTACCTCCTTATGCCTTTCCACAGGTGTGTCTTCCCTGCACCAGTTCTCCACAGTCTTTTGGCAGCTGAAACAGCGAACGCGGTCAGCCTGTCCGGTGAAGTAGAAGCCAGCCCGGGCCAGTCTTTCCGCTGAAATCCGCTGGGACAGCTTGGAGCCAAGGAATGAGTCCAAGCGAATGGTCATCAGGGAAAAATCCTCCATGTGGTCTGTCTCCAGATTGGAATCGCACATGACTGCTGGTTGGGTGGATTTGATTGACAGAATTTCTGTTGATGAAACAGAGAAAACAAAAATAGGCTGTGGGTATTAGGTGTAGACGTGTTTTTAAGTCAAGCAAATGTTTTAAAAAGGATTACATAATAACAAAAAAAAAAACACTCCCTATTATACATATGACATAAAACAAAAGAAAACAAAAAACCTAAAGCCTACAGTGAACTTTTTTCTTTTTCTTACAACATAAAAAATAAAAAAATATTAAAAATGAGACAAATCAGTGACAATTTTGTTTCTGTTTGCCGCTAGAGCGCTGATCAGCACATCTAGGCTCTTGGAGGGTTACTATGCCTTTAAGAGGAGCAATCAGGCCGGAATCACATGGAGGCAGTGAATTTTCCATGTGAGGGATCGGCACAGCAGAGACGGGATGGTCTCTAGGCGTAGTGCAGAGTACACTGTAATAGGTTAGTATTGTAAAGGGTGTGTCCCTTAGTAATACAATGACACTGGCTACATCTAAGGACATCAGATAAAAACTTAATGATCCCATGGGATCGTTAGGCATTAACAGAACATAGGTAATACAATTTGCAGGACATGGAGCTTAAAATGTAAGTATAGAGGCAGGTCATACTATTTTAGTAAGCAAAGGTACATGTTGCCATTGATAACAATTAAGATTATGTCGTAACACATCATCAAAAGCATGCCTCACTCCCTCTTATGCATAACATCAGGGTGGAACTATGTTGTCACTGCATTGTTGTCACATAGCTGAACATTTTCCCACATCATCAGAGCAATATGAAAGCTCGACGTCCACGACTTATCTTGTCAGCACAGTATATCCGCACTGACGAAGCAGCTACTTATTAATCTGATCTGAGACGATGTGTTGACTGTGTCACAAGGAGCAGTTTGTGATCTTTGCACTGAGTGTCGACATTCTTTAAAGAAAGCAACGACCAGATCAATGTGGGGTTAAATATCTGTGACTCAAACACACATGGAAACAGCTTACACATTTGTTGACGTTCTCGATGATTCACTTCATTACCGTTTAACACAAAGTAGAAAGTACATAGCGTCTGTGGGGGGTTTTTACCGTGTGATCGCATGTTCACGTACGACTTTCCCGTATATATTAATGATCAGACTGTAACGATGAGCCCCACAAACTCTAGAAAAATTCGCAGCTTTGAGTTCAACAATAGCGACAGAGCAGCTCTATAGTTGCTGGGTAATGCCGATGCAAGCAAACTGACAGATGTCACACCGCGGACCAATCCATTAGCGAACTATTCAGACGAATAAGGCAAAAAAATAACAATTTAAAAGTACGCTTTTCTGTTAAGAGTAGCAATAACCGGTTTGTACTTTGACCAGACCTGGTTTGTTAAGCTCGTAAACGAACGCTAGCTAGAAATGTCTGCTAGCTTCGTTAGCTTAGCAATCCCACATAACGTCGGCTCAGGTCACGAAGTTTTTAGATCAGTTTTCGTCGCAGGAGCTTCGATAATTACCTTTCAACGCCTTGTGAAGCGGTCCCTCTGTCTGTTACTTCAGTCAGTCTCTGGTATGAGCATCGCCCACATGAGTAGACACTGATTAAACAGGACTATTTATTTGACGTGACCTCGCTTTTCAGGAAGTGAAAGCAAAGGCGGAATCTGCGCACCTGCCATGCGCAGCCCCGCCGACAACCATTGTGACGCCAGCAGAGTTATAGATTTGAGATAGTATTTGGGGGTTCCCAGCAAAACCGCAGTAATTCCCACTTTCCTTTTAACGAAAATTTGCTTTTCAAATAAATGTTCTGTTACACATTTGCAGTGGGTGTTGGACCGCACATACTTCGCCACTCTGCTACTCAGGTCATATTTGCATATTTGCTTTCTGTCATATAATATGCATAGTTTTTACTGTTCATACTGTTAATCCTGTCTATATTGTCTATACTGTTGTGCATACAGTTTATATTATCTAATAATTTAATCTAAAAGCCAAGCCAAGTCACCTTCTGTGTAGATTCTCAAACATCCTGGTCATAGTAATCCTCATTGCTTTAGTCAAAGGCAACTGGATTTAATAGAGAAGTCACTGGTTGTTGTTCAGGCAACATCATGTGCTAGAAGACACTGATGATAAGATAACATCTCATGCTATTTAAATCTGTTTTTCTGCATTAAGAAGACAGGCTCGGACCGTTTTCCTCAATACTGAGTAACAGTTACAAATTTTATATTTCATTAATTTTCAGAACTGATACCTACATTTTATCTGTTGCTGTTACTTTGCATGCACACACTGTATGCTGTAATTTAAGTCTCATGTGATGGAATGCTTTCGATTAGATTTTTATTTTGCTTGCTTTTTTGCATCCGCCAACATTTAAAACAAACATCCGTAAAGCCTTTTTCCCCTGTGGGAATTTCACAGTTCTGTAGTTCCCCCTTTGAAATTGTGTGAGCTTATTGTTCTTGTTTCCTCTTTGATTCCGCTCTATTTTACAAATGAGAGTATATCGTCAGCGAAAAAGCAAGGGCAGACCCAGTTATGGCACTGTGTCTGCGTAGATTCCCAACTGCTAACTGAATAAATTTCCCATTCTCATCCAAGAGGTGTCTTCAGTTTTGATCGACTGATGGGGAGTCCCAGAAATACATTGCCACTCTCAGAGACGACACAAAGCGTTAGTGGTGGTGAAGCTTTCTGGCAAGGAATCTCAAGACTGTATTATAGGTACCTGGTAACGGTGGGGTCAAGGACCTCCTCCTATGTTTCCAGATAGATGTTCTACTTTAACATGAATGGCTTCCTTAAATCCTCTTTCAAACAGTTTGTCTTCTCTGTCCAGAGTGTGAACATATCTATCCTCAAAGAAGTAACCCTTATCCTTTAGATACAGATGGAATGCTTCTTGTCCTGAGGAGCTGGCTGTCTTGTGTTGGTCTGTGCACTCTCAGGTGGTTGTTTAGTCTCCCCTAAACACAGGCATGTACACTACTCACTGCCTTAGACTGCATCCATCCATCCATTATCTATCCACCAGAAGCCAGAGAACCCGGAGAGAACCCACGCTGCATGGGGAGAACATGCAAACTCCATGCGAATCAGCGACCTTCTTGCTGTGAGGCATCAGTGTTAACGAACTGCGTCACCTTGCAGCTTGCATTTGACTGCCTATAGAACATTACTCAGCTTGTATTTGGGCGTTTTATCCTCAGGGTGAAGCGATTTCTGTCTCAGCGTGTTGATGGGTCTGAAATGCATCATGATGTTGTGTTTGGTGAAAATCCTTTTAAGTTTCTATATCAAGTCATCATTATTTGTACAGCACACAACAGGCATTGAGCCAAAGTGCTTTGAAGAGGAGAAAGCTACTTAACAAATAAATACCACTTGTAAGACCCTATATTATTACTTAAAATACATATAAAATACAATTTTAAATAATAAGATTAGGACCCTACAATATTGTATATAATAGATAATATACATACTTCTATCACAACGAGTTTAAGAAAAAATACTGTATACTACTGTAGTAAGTACTTACTATTCCACCATATTATGTATTTAGAATGCATCTGTATTATGGAGTTACTTTAAATAATAAATAGCTACTAAAACACAGCACACTAAATTATAAGTCTACAATCAGCTCCTCCACATAATATTTTCTAATAATATACTATTATAACATCACTATAGCAAGGCGAGAGGTTAATACCATTGGCGGTATGCTCAAACAAGACTTCTGGTCGATTGTGAGCTACTGTTTAAGGCAGCAGAGCTCAGGTTACAATTCTGGCGTCTTCAGAGCACTTCTGCAGTAACCCACAAATCCAGTGGAGCTCCCAATAAAGATCTGTGCTAGTCCACATCAGCTCACATTTTCGTCTTCCAATCTTTACCTCAGCACTGAATTTAAAATGACACTCACAGTGGGGGGAGATAGTTACATCCACATAAAGGACATGGGTATGAGCTAATGAATGAAGCTCTGACTAAAATGGCAAATATGGAATAATTTTTTCCACCATGTGGAGAAGAAGTAATGCTTCATAATATTAAAAGTGGCAATAAATGAGTCACCAAGAACAGTATATTCCAACGATACTTCATTAACATGCTGAACACTGGTTTTTATTAAGCCATTTTTTACAATTCAAACTTCATAGAAAATTGACTGCTGAGCTGGAAAGACTGCGCTTAGTGCAGGAGGGTGTTTTAAATCACACATATTTGGTCTGCGCAGTTTCAAAGCCACATCTGAAGAGCTGATAAGGAAGCAGTACAGTCCAACTTTTTCTCCCAGACACTGTCTCATCTTCGACCTGTTACACGTTCGAATGTGTCGTACCAGACCGCTCGAGGACGACTGACTGGGATGAGAATCCTCATAACGTAACTTAGCGCTGGTGGGGATTTGATCTGGAACTCCCCCTGTAGGTGAGTGGAACCATCATCCCTCCACGATCCGGCGAAGTAGGTTGCCCAGACCACCTTTGGCTATCTGGAGTGGGGTCTTCTCCTCCTTGTTCTCGATGTAAATGCTGGCTCCATGTTCCACCAGCAGTTTGGCTGCTTCCACACGCTCCTCATCGCATGCCAGGTGACTAGTAGGGAAAAAATAAATACATTTAATGCAAAATTGTAAACACAGAGATACCTTTTGGTTTTGAATTTTCAGTGTTTGAAACACTTCAGTCTAAATTCTCTTCACCTAAACTGTATTAGCGTAGAAGCAAAAGTCTCAAACCGATTTCTTAAATTCCATCTATCCAAAGCAATCTGCATGGTTGGTATCATTGAAGGTAAGTGAGAAAACCCTTCAAAGTGTTTGTCTCTTCTGTAACTGTGTACTTATGCAGGCTGCCACAATGTTGTATCTGACAAATACTCCGTCACACATACAGTGGCGTGTTGCCCTGCGAGTCCTGGATGTTGGTTGAGGCGCTCTGTTTGAGAAGCAGCTGGATGAGGCGGTAGTTGCCCTTGGCAGACGCTCTGTGAAGAGGAGTGGACTCCAGCTTATCAGTAGCATTGGGGTCTGCTCCGTTTTCCAGCAACAGCAAGGCGATCTGCAAAATGGGAAAGACGAGTTTCTCAGAAACCATTCACAATTTTAAGTCCAGCATTTTCCCATTCACAAAAAATATCCTCTTTCCATCTGTGGGCTTACAGTTTCAGGATGGGTTACCCACTAATAGGGAAGTATTCACAACATGCAGGAAGTGAGACTTTATACCTTGAGAACCAGAGTTTCTGGCACTTCTGTGGAAACTGTGGGTGACTATATGCTACTCGTATATACGCAAGTGGAAAGTGTCTGTGCCCGAATCCACCACCGCCTGCATGTCCTCTGTCGACTCAGGCTGTTTGGTATGTGTAAAAAGTTTTTTTTTTTTCCCAGAACAACAGCTGAGTCTTTGTTACGATATGGCATTACTAGCTGGTTCAGAAATTTGACTGTGACGTCAAAAGTCCAGATAGTTGATCTGTTAAAGATAGCAGGGAAAGTCATGGGGAGTCCAGCATCTCCAACCCCCCCCCAAGACCTGCTAGAACAAACGACACTCAGACAGGCAGACAATATTTTATCAGATACCGCTCATGCACTGCAGCCTGAATACACTTAACTCAGGAAGAAGGTACAGGGATGTAAACACGACAGGTACAAACACTCATTCATCCCTCTGTCAGTGAAGCTCATTAATGAAAGGATTACCCTGGATGACCAGACAGACAGGAAGCCAGTCAGAAAACCATGTGTGTAATAGTGTAAGGGGTACGTCTTTATTTGTTTCTTCGCCTTGCACTTG